TCATCATAGAATGCTTGAGTGAGTGCAGCGAGGATAAATAAGTTGAAGATCTTGGGTAACTTGGCTTCAACTCTGCTCTCCTTTAGGAAAAAAATCTCTTATTTGTGGCTCCATGAATATCACTGGGCTGCCTACAGCAGTACCACCATTAATATATGTCAGAATTTTTAAGGATTCAGAGATTGAAGCAATATCTGGATAAATTACTAAGTGAATGGATAAATAATTACAAATAGTTGAGATACCACAGCTCAGCAAATTACGTCTCATCAGCTGAACATGGTAATTGATTGTTTGCTTGGCTTTGGTCCCCTGTGAGTGCTGCAGGAGTCTCTGCCTTAAACCACCTTCAACTCAAGCTGAATCACTCAAAAAGTTTCAGCTTCTCAAATGTGTGGTGTAGGCATATCAGTTTAGCAGTGGCTTGGGTTTGTGTAAATTACTATGTATTTTCCTAAATAAAGAATAATTTCTTGCATTTTTTTGTCATATTACATCCACTAGTTACAGTGAAAGCATAAATTACATAAATATAAAAATGTGAATAAAACTATTTAACAAGAAATCTTAAATGTTTACAAAAAATATGGAAAACGAAGAAACTGAGATAGAAATAGATTCCATTTTCTACCTTTGAATGGTAAAATGACTGGGGAAGCTGAACAGAGCCTTTTCAGTATTATTTCCTCTAAGCAATTTATGGTGAGAAAAAAAGAATAAAAGGAAAATGTTAAAAAATAGGATATTCGGCAGCTTTTGTGTTGCTTTTGCTCTTTTGCTGTAGCTTATACTGCTCCCTTTTTTTATATTTTTGCTCAAAGCAATAGATTTTTCTTTTGGACCTTTTCACTTAGGCTGAATTCCAAATGGCCATGTTAAATCTTTGAATTTAATTTTGAAACAGAAGACAATGGGTTTTGGTAGTCAGAAGAGCACAATATATCTTGATAGTCATGGTTACCTTTAATAATACAAAGGGCTCAAGTCAAAAATGGAAATAGTCTCATTTAAAGCCACAATAAAAGGTTCCTACACCTGATTTTAATCAGTGTGAAAAATGAAGTAAATTGATATGAAAGATCCTTGATTGCTTTTGTAGTTTGAAGTGCAATTTTGTGGCAGAAATTAAATTTTCCTGTCCTAAGATCATCACAAAGAGTAATAAAAATTTGCATTAGAAACAAAATCATTCCCCACCCTAATCTGCTATCCAGCAGGAAACTGAGGCTGAAATACAAAAACAATACAGACAGATAAATTTTATAGGAACTGGTCCTGTGTGTATTTTAAATAACTGAAACTAATGGAACTCCTTGCATGATTTAAGACAGATAATGGCACAGTGCAGAAATGCATCTTGGGCTGTCAGTGCCACTGATAGAAATTCATGTGGAGGAGTTGGTTCCTCCTTTTTCACATCCCCAGTTTGAGGAGTGGTTCAGTGGATTTGGTGATTACAGAAAAATACAGCATCCCTGGAGCTGGCTGTTTATCTTCTTGCTCATTACCTCTCTGTGCTCTTGCAGGGCAGGTTTAAGGTGTTCAGCAATTGTTTTTATGGCAAAAAAAAAGCAGCTTAGCAGACCTGAAATTCTGGACAATAATGTTCATCTACACAGCAGTTTCACTGTTATTAAGTTCTCCATGTGTTTTTGAGAATGATTCACAGTTCATTGATTTTGGTGTTTAAAATGTGTTCCTTGATAGAAATACTCTGGAGCCAGTTCACATTGATCTCAATACAGTCCTGAATTCTGTTTAGGCACTCATTGAGTTCAGTGTTCTCAAGGAACTTAGTAAACAATAAAAGAAAAGAAAAATAAATTAACTACCTGCTTGCTTCCATAGCCTCTCAGGAAACTTCCCCCTCAATGCTTTGGCAGAGTCAGAGCATTTGAGGTGCAAAGGTAAAGGCTTCAAATTAAAGTTCTGCTAAATTGGCAGCTGCACTAATACACAGCTTTTTTATTTCCTTTCCAAGCTCTCTGCTCCATCCAGCCCAGGAGTGACACATTAATAAAATTCACATGCTCAAAAGTGTCTCTGTTCTTCACAAAACCTGTTCTGTTAAATACACCCATGACAATCAAGTTATAATTCACCAGTAAAACACTTTTGATTTCACTAATACCTTTTTGAACAACCACCAGGGGCAGCTGTAACAAACCAGACACATCTAGAGGGTGAGCCAAGCATGCACCTGCAACAGCCCCTGGAAGGGCCCCCCCTTTTTTATCCATTGTCCAAAGGGATCAGTTTGGGAATTAATTCAGATATCTCAGCTAAGTGGGGTGCAATTGTATATTAATTTTTTTATTCATAGTTTTAGGTAGGAAAAATATCTGAAGTTGCTGAATTTATAATCAGCTTAAGCAAAGGGAATTGCCTTGTGGTTTCTATCAAGTAAGAGCATGCATGTGGACCTTGCTGTGGCAAGAATAATAACTGATGGTGACTGTTTATTTGATAACAAAGTCAATCAAAGTAATTAAAAAGTGAGTTATCTGGTGATTGAGCACCTAAAGCTTGTGTTGTTTCACAGATCCATGCTTATGCAGTGAAAACCAGGCTGGAGCAAGTAAAGGCTATTTCTTGCCATCTTTTAAAAATTAAGTTTTGGGTAAAGTCATAGGTTTGTAGAGCTGAATTCAATTTTATCCAGATTGCATCTGCCATTGTGGAAATTGCTTATCTCTGTGTTTATTTGACATAATCAGATCTTGCTGTGGTGCAGGCTGGCACACTCCCTGCTGGATTGTGCAATAGAATTGCTGCCTGACTGCTGATGATGCAGGGCTGGATTTATGCAAGGCTTGAAAAATACCACAGAAACTATCAAACTGAGGGTTATACATGATGTGTAGCATTATTTCTTTTAAACAGATAACTGTGATGCTCTTTGATATGTATATTTAATGGAGCAATAATTACATTTGTACTCTTGTGTTGATAGTAACACCAAAAACAATGTACTGAAGTCTGTTTTACAAAAAAGGGAAAAAATATTTCTCTGATTGTGTCTGTATCTTTCTTGGAAAAACAGAGCACTTTGCAAGATCCAAATATTGTCTATCAGATTCTATTTAAAGAATAATTAACAGACACAGAGAAGAAATAAGATTTATTTTTGCTGGTTATATCTGCATTGCTCCCTTCCAGAGGAACTCAAAACCTGCTTTATAGTTTGATGGCCATTTCATGACACCCAGAAACCTTCATCACATATTTCTTTCTGCAAAAATGTAAATGTTACATCTGAAGACTTGGGACAAGTTCCCATTGTGTTAATCAGAAAATTAAGGGCAGTCTGAAAAGCCACTTAGTTCTAACACAGGAAGGTGGCTCTTGCTAAACTTAATATCATTTACTAGTTTTTAAAGTCTGTAATTTCCACTCATGCTAATGAATTCTAAATATTATCCTGCTTAGTTCTTGTTTCTGGTGAAGATGAAAGGATTGTGTTTGATGTGTGCAAAGAAGTGACTACAGAAAATGGTAAATTAATTGGAAGATGTCATCTCAGGAGAAGGTTTTTGACAGGAGGGCTGTAAGGCTGTTAACAAACAGACCAACTCATTTGTCTCATCATGAAATGAAAATAAAAATCACAACATTATGATAAAATCTTGATTAGGAAATGCCTGCAAGACTCTTTGAAGCCTTGGGTTCTTTCCTTGCCTGGGCTTCGGCGCTGTGATTTATGCAAACCACGCTGCTCAGAACTGGAAGGGAAATGGGATCTGTGCAGAACAGATGGATCAGGGCTAAGGCAGGGTGTGCTCTGCAGATGAGAACAGATTAATACCACAAGGGGAGACTGGAGGAAAATTGGGAAGATGGGGGCATTTGAACTAATTCATGAATCATTTCCAACTGATAGCTGTGCCTTCAGGCACAGTGAATAATATCAAGGAAGCATATTTAAAATTTTATAAATTTGTTTTAATGCAGATTAGAATAGAGAGCCATAATTTTGGATGATTAAAAAATATCCTGTGTTCCCCCATCCCAAAATGTACCTTGGTGATTTAAATATCACAGTGTGCACTGGGACATGAATTTCTGTTTGGAAAACCCAGGGCACATTCACGGAGTTGGCACAAAGATTTGGGAATGGATTTTTTGGAAAATCTGGGAGAACATGCTCCCCCACTTGAATGCAAGCCACAGCTCTGCTGTGTCTGGAGACGTGGTCTGATTTCTAGATCTCATTCAGATGTCTCTCCAAGTCTTTATCTTATCCAAATAGCCTTCAGTCTTAGAGCTTCACACTTCCCAAAGCTGTGCCAGGGCAAGTAAATGTGGATTTAAAGATCTTTGAATGAGATCTTCAGATGTATATTACAGAACAAGGTTTCAACAGAGTTATTTCACATCTCTAAGTTACTTTACTGTTACTAATGGATATTTTACTGCAGGGCAGAAAAACAAAAAAGAAGTCCACATGAAAATTAAAATTATTTTAATATGCACAGAAACAATGAAGATATTTGAGAGATATGTAACTTCCCACTCTCAGTGAAGGTATAAATTTTGATTATGGGTTGAAAAGTATGATTCTATGTGCTAGGACATCAAAAACCTTTCCTTTTGCCAAGCTCAGAGTGTATGGATGAGCCTGATTGCCTGTATTAATAATGAATGTAGTTCATAAGAGCAAAAAGAAACTGAGAAGAGAAAATGTACAGATAAATATCTGGATATTCTGTATTCTGTATATAACTTCTCAGCAGATGATTTTCAAGCTATAGAGTAGGATTCAAAACACTTGACAGTGAAGGAAGATTCTGAGAACAATCTAAAGAAGATGGGTAGTTCAGTTTGCTAGTAAGGAAATAATCTACAAGGGTTTCTGTTCACCAGCACAGGAGATGTATTATTCCTCTTGTAAAAAACCCTTTCATTTCAGGAAAAGCTTGGTAAGAACAGAGAAAGGGATAAAATGGCTCACTTGCCTAAAACTTGGTTCTCATCCTGATGGTTTCGTGATTTCATTGCAGGTTGCAAATCTGGCCTGCTCAATCTCCAATAACGAGGAAGGAGTGAAGTTAGTGCGTATGGCAGCCACACAGATTGATAGTCTGTGCCCACAGGTGAGTGAAGATTCCTGCTAAAACCTACCTGAGGAGTCTTTTAGCACTTAAGAGCATTAGAAGAAGAGCATGGCCTTGTCTTTGTCATGAGATTGTACCTGTTTTCCATGAACTGTGAAAAACACACCCATATCTTGAGACCCTTCGCACCAAATGGGTTGTATGCTGTATTTTTAACACAGTCCATAATCTATTTGCTCTTTCCTGTGGAAAAAAAAAGATAAAAATTACCACTCCTCCTCTGACAAATGGCTTTGATTAACAGGTAATTAACGCTGCACTGACATTGGCTGCCAGGCCCCAGAGCAAAGTAGCCCAGGACAACATGGACGTGTTCAAGGACCAGTGGGAGAAACAGGTGCGCGTTCTCACCGAGGCCGTCGACGACATCACTTCAGTGGATGATTTCCTCTCTGTTTCAGGTACTTTTCCAAAAATATACTGCTCAATGAAAGCATTGGGTCAGAGCAGATAAAAGCTATAATTACTAAAGCATCATTAATCCATTAGTCTGTGTGTATTGGAGTGCTGATCTTCTGTACTCAGTAGGACCAACCACGCTGTGTTAATTAATCCCTGGTAGCAATCCCTCTTCACCTCCCATAAAATAGCACCTATTTGTGCTTCTATTCCTAGAGGATGTTTGTTCCAACTCAGGCACAAAGTAGGATTTTGCCCACCCTTCTAAAAATGTGTTCCAGACCTGTTACAGGCTGAGAGTATTTATAGAAATTGTTGGAATCCTTGTACAGCTGTGTGAAAGGAGAACATTACAGAATCACAGGATGGTTTGGGTGGGGAGGGTAAAGAAGGGATGGAGAAGAGAAGGACACTGACCCTGGGTCAGTCTTTCCTCCATCCTCCTGGTAAAGTGCTCCAGCTTGTGGCAGAGTGGTTGTTATTATGTGATCATACACAGTGAGTGCTGTAGTGGCAAAGTGGTGCATGGTTTGGGTTAATTTCTGCTGCAGAAAACTCATTTTCTTTTTTTTGCTTAGAAGTGTGAATTTCAGTCTTGTGAGTAAGGACATAGAGTGTGCTAAGAGAGCTTTCCTTACTCAGATGTCTCAGAAGAGCCAAACTTCATGAGACAGTCTGGCCAAAATGTTATTTTCCTTGGTATTTCTTAAATTTTCTAAAAGACGTTTATGAGGAAAAAATATTGAAAGAAAAACAATATTTATAATTTAAAATAATCCTTTCTTTTCTTGCCCTCTTTATCTTGTTTGGTTGTATCCTGTTACCCTTATTAACAGAGAAATTATTTGGTTTAGTTAATTACACTCTTCTGTTCAACAGCCCTGCCAGTGTTTCCTGCAAGCCATTGCAAGAAAATGAAAATGAGCTCTCTGAACAGTAGGGCACTTCAGAATATGGGAGCGCATTGATTTTTATTTGAGATTTGAAGCTGACAAACTCTGTCTGGCAGAACTAGTTCTGAGAGAAAGGGACGACCAGGCTGTAAACTGCAGATCCAGCCCATGTGCCAGAGTTGGAAATTTGGCTCAAATGGCCATTTTCTGCTTTGTTTGAGGACTTTGCTTATTCCAAGTGCTTGTGTCCATAAACCAGAAGTAATTGGAATGGTTGATAGGTTTTTTTTTCTTTTTCTCAAATCTTAATTCCTTCAACCAGAGTTTTGCCTTAGATCTAAACTTTCCAAGGCAGCTGAGAATTATTATTTCTGTAAAGTTTAGATTCCTTTTTCCTAATTCTTTGCACAGACATCTCTGTTAAACATGAGGAAACAGAAAGCCTGTTGCTCTTGCTGTAAAGCTTGGAAGCCTCAGCTTACAAAGAGTATTTTTATTTTTTGATGTTAAACCAGTGAAGCATTCAAAGTGCCACTAACTGGTTAAATGTACCTCCTAAAATGGCACCTCGTCCTCCTCTTCATATTGACTGTCACATTTGATGGTATATTTTAATAATATGGAGGCTACCAGAAGAAAGCTGACCATAATTTCAAGAAGTTATTTCATATTCCAAATGCACTTTACAAATTCATATATTGCTTCTTGTTGGGCAAAATTTGTTTGTGCCATGGTAAAAGCAAATTGGTGATGGTGAAATGGAAACAGCAAAGAAAAATTATAACAAGGCACTGCTTCTTTATTCTGAGTAGGGAGTGTTTTAAACAAAGAGTTTTGCCTTGCAAGTTATTCAAATTCACAGCTCAGGGGACTTTCAGTTTCCATCCAAAGTTGTTGCAGTGTAAAATGCGACATCATGTAAAACATTTCTGAAACCCTCAAATGATCCAACCTCAGAATTTTTAACTGTGAAGATTAGTGAGTCATTCTTTCTAGTGGCAACGGATAATTAACAAAAAACAGTTGGTGAACTGATTAATCCTGTTTTACTACTACTACAAAGAACAGCATTTCCTTTTGTGTCAGATGTGTCTCTACAGCAGAAAATCAAGTTGCTGTTTAGAGTCACTGAGTTTCTCAGATTGGGTTTGGTCAAATATGAAATTCAGTCATTGTCTTAGTAAAATTATTTTTGACTCTGCTGACTGCAGAGAATAATATCTGACCTAGTCAGAGTCTTCTTCATGCTTTCATATAGTTTGTATGTGAGAAAACTACATAAACTCTGATGCTGTAGCACATGAGAGGAGATGGCCTGATCCAGAGCCAGAAAAATAACAATGCATCTCCCAAGAATGCAATTAAGGTGCTTGGTATCACCTGCTCTGAGCAGAGTCACTGTTGCCATCTCTTGCTTCAGATTATGCAAAGTCACATATAATGATATATATATATATGATATATATATATAATATATATATATATAATGATAAGGGTGTGTTATTAGAAATTCCCAGCTTATTCTCTGGCATAGATGGAGTGAGGGAGGTGAACTGCTCATGCCCAGGTTTTGTGCTATCTGCAAAGGCCATTTGCTGTTGTCTTTTCAATGTGATTTTTTTTTCCTGACTTACTTAGGCAAAAATGAGCCAAATGTAATAAAAATTTATGGGAGAGTGTAAATTCACCTTCAGAAAATTGCCCAACTGTTTATTAGAGAATCTGCAAAATATTTGACTGCTTTCCTTTTTGCATTCATTTTAATCACAATTTCATTATGGTAACATTCAGTGTGATGTTTGAAATTCATGTGAGTGGTTTTTAAGGAATTACAGGTTGGGACACACAGCCCAGTCCCTACTAAAGATAAATATCACACAGATTTTTACTGTTATGTGACAATATCACAGAAGAGCTTTTGTTTTACAGCCCGGATAAAGGTAGATAATCCATTTTTTAATAAACTGACATTTGCCCAAATGAGTAAGCTCTGCTGTGAGGAAGAGCGCAATCGAACCAGGTGTCTTTTTAACCTGAATTGCAGAGAACCACATCCTGGAGGATGTGAACAAGTGTGTGATTGCCCTGCAAGAGGGGGACGTGGACACGCTGGACCGGACCGCGGGCGCCATCCGGGGCCGCGCAGCCAGAGTGATCCACATCATCAACGCCGAGATGGAGAACTACGAGACCGGCGTGTACACTGAGAAGGTGCTGGAAGCTACAAAACTGCTCTCTGAAACTGGTGAGTGTCTGTAAGAGCCTAAATGAGGGATGCAGGACTCCATCCAGCTCTCCAAAGTGCAGTTTATTACATCCAAGAGTTACAGCATTCCAGGGTCATGGGTGACAGAGCTGTGCCCACAGCTGTCAGCTCCAGCTGCAGGCAGGCCTGGACACCCTGAGTTTAGGTCACAATGCATTATAGACTTTTCTTTTGGTTACATTGCATTATAGACTTTTCTGTGCTGAGCATCTTCATACATTAGAACCAATCTACACCTTAACTTTTATCTCTAGCCTATCATAACTACTGTAATTACCATATTCATGTTACTGTTCTCCAATCACTAAAAGTCAGTGCATTACAGTTTAAGCTAGAAGTTGTTTTTCAGTTTTCTTGCAGTGGAAAATTCTGAGACCTTTTTTCTACTTGCACCCTTTGCTGCCTTGTTTGCCTGTGCTCTCTTTCTGCTTGGTAAAAACATCTTCTTGTTTGGGGTGGGTTTATTCTTTGCTCTGAGCCATAAAACCCCTTCTAACCAACACACCCTTTGCCTCCTTGGCTATCCAGTGAGACTGGCTCAGCAATTCTTATCTTCTATATCAAAACTTGCTTCCAGCTCTATTCCTTCGTCAGACTCTACATTCAAAAATGTTCTTCATTCACATATCTGTGAGACCTTTGTGTCAATCCTTCTCAACAAGTGTCACCCTGTTTTTTAAGTTTTTCTAAGCCTTCTAATATTTACATTCTTGTAACAAACTTTCTCACTCACTTTATGTAAATAACTTACTGTTTTACATTCTTTTATGGAAGAAGAGAAATATAATAGACTGTTGGTTTGCCCAGTGTCATTGGAAAGGTGGCACTTTCACCCTCCAATCCACTGTCACTTTTAAAAATCTAGAAATGTTAGAGTCAAAAATTAAAAACTCTCTTTTTTACCTTGAGAAAGCTGCATGTCCACACTGTTTTATTTTTGTGTCCTATCGTGACAGGGGAGTTTGGTGCAATGCTGGAAGAATTATTGAAATACTCTTATTTAGTCATTTAAAACTTTCAGGTGGTTCTCTGAGATCTGCTCTGGAAAAGAAGATACAAACAAATAAATTCATGGCTGGGAGTGTGTTTTTTATTCTCCACTCAGTGCTGTTGCAGAAGTCACACTGACAGGAGCCATATAAGAGAAGAAATTCAGTAACACATCAAGACTAGGCCACTACATCAAAGTTTCTATGATTTGAATAAATAATACACAGCCTTTTCTTCTGAGCTGATTGATTCTGCATTATACACCTGCAGAAAATCACTGCAAACATTACTCTTTGGTCTGTGCAGGTGAATGTACTTGCTGATGACTGAAGCGTTGCTAAACAAAACAACTTTTCATTGAAAAATACATATGAGCAACTGAAAATGCACCACCTGATTGAGAAAACATAAAATTCTGCTAGATTGTATAAAAATACATAGATTATATAAAAGTAGAAAAGTCTGCAAGATTGATAGAGCGAGAAGAAATATTCTTTTTTCTTTTTCCAATCTGTTTTTGCCTTGCCAGAGCAGGGATTGGATTCGTCTCAGTGTGGGTGATTAGGTCTGTGCTGGCCATTTTAAAGCCCTTTATATCAGTGCTCTCAGTAATTCAGGGCTGCTCTCACCTGAAGCAGCAGGTTTGGCTGGTTTTGGGTCAATCACGCTCCAAATTTCATTGGCTTCACAGGCTGGGTCTCCACACACTGATCAGGTGCCCTGGTGGGATAAAGGCGCACAAATTGTTGTGTCTGGGGGTGTCTGAGCTGATCCTCCCCTGCCTCTTTGCACTTGTCCATCTGAGGTTGATTTTTTTTTTTTTTATTATTTTAGAAGGAACAAATGAAAATTGCACCAGTTCAGGACACTTCAAATGTGACTTTTGAGCCAAAAGCCCAAGAATTGCCCTCTGAGATGGAAAAGCAAAAACTGTTCTAGCTCTGCAGTCTCTGGGTTCGCTTTGAGAACAGGAATCAACAAAATAAGCTAAAAACTGATTAGGGGATGATTAAATATTACTCCTGGTATTGTAGCCCTCAGCTTAATGTCAGCCTATTTTTACTACCCAACAAGAGATCACTGGAATAAGTACTGTAAATTTAACTCCTTTTTAAAAGTTTATGACCTGGTTTTATGAATTCACAGAAGGAAAATAATCTTGCCAGTTTGACATGGTAAAATATTTTGTTGCTCTCTTCTGTTAAAGCTATTTTTTTGGTTGAAGAGGAGCTATGAAGAATTCTTCCTACCATTAAGATTTCTATATTAAACAAAACAAAATGTATGTCTGAGCTTTATATTTAGCTAAAATTTGTGATCCAACATTCTAAAAAATTTTTTATTAATTTTTTTTAACAGGCAGGTATAAAGTGCCATTATATAAATCAATATTATGCACATCAAATACTTAAATTCCATATTTAATTCACTTTTTGGTATCATTTGAATTATAACTAAGTGCTATAAACTCTGGACTGAGTGCAACTTGAAAACATCAATGTGTTAATGTTGGGGTTCAATAATTAAGAACAAGTCCCTGTTCCTCCAAGTCAAAGTTTTTATTATTTTTTTTATTCTATAATATGTAAATAAACTTGTGAGCATTAAAAAATAAATTAAAATATTATGTTTACAATATTAAGAGCTTTGTATCATGAACAAATTGTGTAGCAGTAGTTCAGGGGACAGAATGGGCCCAAATTCAATGAAGCTGATGAAGCTTAAACAATTTCTGCCAGTTGTGAATGTGGATCATTAATATTAGAGCACAATTTCCATCTGCAGCTTTTCAGGCCATTTACAAAGGCATTGATTATGATTTCTGTATGCTTAAAAGTAGAATTAACTGACTCCTTTCATCGCCTTAGAATAAAGTGGTTAAAATGGGATTTAGTCCCTCTGTGCCATTCTGGAATCCCCATCCTTGGAAGTGTTCAGAACCCTGTGGATGTGGCACTTGAGGACAGTGAGCACAGTGGTGCTGGGGGAATGGTTGGACTCCATGGTCTGAGAGGTATTTTCCAACCTCAGTGATTCCCTAATCTGGGTACCTATGGATCCATACATTTATTTCAATATTCTTTCAGTTCCTCACCTCGAGTTCTTCCCAGATTAATCAAACACTCAGGAATGATGGCAGGGATTTACCAAATTTACCAGGATCCCTCAAGGCAAGGAAGAATGATGCACAGAACTCCATGATATCAGAAGGCTAATTAATTACTTTATTATACTAAATTATAATATACTCTAAATAATGCTAAAAGAAAACTCGTGACTTTCTCCCAACAGTCAGGACACAGCTTGGATCTGATTGGCTAATTAACATAAACAATTCCACCAGAATCCAATCAAGCAACCATTGGGTAAACAATCTCCAGAGCACATTCCACATGAGCACAAGCACAGGAGCAGCAAATGAGATAAGAATTGTTTTGATCACTCTTTGCTTCTCTCACAGCTTCTCTCTGTTCAGAGGGCATGTGAATATCACAGTGATTGATTTGCATTGATTTGGATTCAGGTTCCACCCACAGATGGACATCAAAATCTTTATGAGAAGCACAATCATGGACATCTCACTGTTTTCATCTTTATTACTTCCTTTTTTTATTTATTTGTTTGTTTTTTATTTTTTAACAGACCTTAATTTAATTTTAAATTAAGTACTTTTGGAAGCTGGGATAAATTTAGTTAAACGATGATGGCAAAGAAATAAACAGATTACCTTTCTCTTATAATTATTATTTGCTTTTAATTGTCCACTCAGAAAAGGAAAACCTCTGTTAAACCTATTCTTCCACAGATTTCTGACTATTGGGTTGGATCCACAGTGGAGAAATATGGATGCAGTGTTTTGGAAGGACAGGCAGCTTGATAATGGTTTGGTTTGGTTTGGTTTGGTTTAGTTTGGTTTTATTTAGGGGGGAGAAAAATTAATCTCTCATGAAAATGATGTTGATAGTTTCTGAGAAATGGAAACTGCAAACATTGCTTCAATAACCAGTCTCACCTCCAAGTTTTCTTAGTTTGTTGTTTTAATTCACAGCCATTGGAATATATGGGGTGGGGTTTTTAGTGTTTCAGTGCTTTGCTGCCTGTGCCTGTCTAACAAAATGCCTTTAAAGCCAAGTACTTGATAGAGGCTGAATTCTTTTCTCTGGCAGCAGTTTTAGGGAGTGACAGACTGGTTAAAGTCCTTTTAAAATAGAGAACTTTTCCTTTAAAAACCATAACAAAAACTTAGCTTTTGCTTGCTGATTTTCTTACAAATCCAAGATGAAACCTATAGAACCACAGAGCTGATGGGGCTTGCTGGGAACAAACACCAAACTCGTAGATTTTAGTGGATGTTACTTGTGCAGGAGTAAACCAGAGCTTCAAAGTTCAATTTTTTTTTTTTTTTGTTGATTGGCTTTGGGGTGGTTTTTGGTTGTTTCTTTGTGGTTTTTTTTGTTTGGTTGAGTTATTTTAGGGTGCCTCTGTTAAGTGTTATATTGGTATTCAGATTTGTGGAAGGCTGTGAAATCATCCTGTTACAAGTTGTCCATGGAGGGGAAAAAGGAGAGAAGGGTGGAAGGGAAAAGAGAAGAAAGAAAAAGTTAAACACAAGGATAAAGGCAAAAAGAAAGGGAAGGAAGTAAGAGGAAACAGAGCAGAATTACAATTATATAATTCTGCTCAGAATTAGTTTGAATAGTGAGGTTCCTCATCCTGCTATGTACCCAGAGTGACCAAGGCCAGCTGAGACTTTCCCATTGCCTTCAACAAGGAGGAGACTGAAGTGTACTCAGAAGTTACTTCAAAATCTGTAAAAACTGAAGGCAAGAAGCCTGTGCTTCTAAATAAATAAAAATAATTGAAATTAAGGAACAGGCAATGAGACCAAATCCTATTTTTCAAGATTTTTCAGAAAGGAGAAAAAGCCATGACATTATTTAAAGGCCAAGAGTTGGATTTAAACTGGGAAAACTGGATTAGAAATTGCA